ATTGGTTTTTCGTCATTCTTTGGTTAAAAATATGTTTTACCACTGAAACTATTCACTGATATATATGATCAGGTTTCTCTTTTCTTACTTGGTTATTTTATATGACCTATATTTACTACTTTTTTTCAAAGTATATTTCACATTTAGATTGTATCGTTTATAATTTTGTATCAGAATATTCAACTGAAAAGTTAATTTTAAAATATCATAATCTACCAAGAAAGAAAAAAGTTCAACGACTCTGTTTAACCCACTAACAAAAAAGAAAATACTTTCAAGTTAAGTAAGAGAGAAATATGAAATAAAGTAGGAATTGATAACCTTGATCTCCTTTTTTTAAGAATAATAAATGAAGATTATGTTAATCGTAAGAAATGACTAGTGGTTGTTCAATGACATAAGTCAGTCAGTTACAACAGAGGACCAGGCACATATATGTATCGATCCAAGTTGCCATACCTCATTAACACAACAAGATGCACACCACATTCATAGGAGTAGTTAAGTCAATGGTAGTAATATATAAAAGAAAGATTACAATAAGGATATAGTACAGGAAGAAAGAATTAGTTCGTAGAAAGAAAGATATGAAGCGATTTTAATCTCTTAGTTTAAAGGAAGACAGAGAGTGCATACACCGACGCCATTGTGATCGATTCTGAGCCATGTCACCAAGAGTCTCCAATCACTACTGGTTACAATAGTTGAGCGGAACCCAACCAAGTAGTTTGCATCTACCAACATAGTTCAGGCTAGAAGTTAGTTACTTCAAAAACTGATGCCATGTTTTGGTAAGGACGCTCCTAACTTTCTTCCATCCGTCTCCAACACTAGTCAGCATTGCGCGTCGTTGTAATCGGTAAGTACAAATGAACTTTCTCAAATAATGAAATCTAGACTATGTGTAATCATACAAATATATAAAATCTGTTCAAAAAAGTCATTTACTTTTATTCTGAATTGTATACTTCACTAACATCTTAACACTTACTTCCTTATCATCAATCTGGATTTATCAGATATGTATATTAGTTTCATAAGGTCGAAACATTTTGTGCTAATGAAAGATTTTTAATGAAAAATGTCCATTTGATTTTCTGTATTCACTATGATCTACAAAGACAAAATCATTTTGTTATGTAATCTTGTGGGCTGCCTGTGCTCCTGCATGATGGGTAACAGGAGCAAAGTACTTATGAATGAATTTTTGATTAAAAGATAATACACTGATTTATACTCTACTTATTGAGTGTCAAGTTTAAAAACACTACCAATCGACTAACCTTCTGAAGGACCATGGTGTCTATAACAAAAATTAGTTATATTTTTCCAGTCTTGAACATTGATCGAATTACATCAATCACTCTGAAGTATCGTCACAACTCTAATTGAATTAACCATAATGTGAAAAGTGGAATTATCTCTTTTAGGAAAATAAATATGTGCAAATAAATTTGGTTACCTTTAAAAAACTACGCAAATAGATCATATCAGAAGCACAGTAATGAAGCATGATCGGAAGCTCCATGTAACTTTCTCCATTGACAAATTTGAAAAAAAAAACAAGAACACGAACCGATCAGTGTTAGACCATCATTGAAAAACCTAGGAGCACTGGACAGCCATTTCGTTCCAGTATAAGACTCCTCGGCAGTATGCATCCACAATTCCACACGTGAGATTCGAAACACAGGACCTTCAGCCGGTATCCAACGATAGCAATGTTTAATATCAACCAATCCATGATATTGAGCGACCATGTTTTATTGTCTTCGGTGGGTATCTGTCTCACACCCAACAGGTTTGAACTCCACTGGTCACGGCTTCTAACTAGAACTCAGAGAAGTTCCTCTCAAAGCTAGTCACCAGTGGATACATGATAATTATCAGTAAAGGGTTTTGAAGATTGTTGACTTTTAGTTGAGTTCATGAACCGACCAATATTAGACCACCATTTAAAACCTGAAAGCACTTGAGTTCGCGCAAGACCAAAGGTCCTCGGTTTCAAATCCCGCATATAGGATCGCGGATGATCACCGCTGAGGAGTCCCAAACTGGGGCGAAGGGACCGTCCAGTGTTTTCAGTTTTTCAGTCGTTCATGATCTCAAAACTCAACAGTCTTCACAACCCTATGTTGATAAAACAAGAATAAATAACGTGTTAAATTAATATGGATTCGTGTATTGTATGAATTCACTTCAGGTGCTTATAACATCCAAACAATAAGGTTAGTTCTTTAAAGTCAATATGCACACTCTTTATATTATTAATAAAGATAAGCAAAAGATGTTATAATTCCCCCATATTTATTCTCATTATTATTATTATTATTATTCACTTATATAATATAAAGTATGTACATTGGTTTGAAAAAAATTAACCCTATTGTTTCACTGATGTAAGTAGCTCGAGAAAATCCACAAAACTAACATTTATCATCTGTTGAAGGTTCCCACACTAGGACGGAACGGCCGTCCAGTGCTTACAGGTTTTCTATAATGGTTTAACTTTAGTGGACTCATGAATTTAACTATTAAATATATTTCGATAATGCAATAAGAAGACGAAGTTTATCAGAATTATGTGATGATAGATTTGCGCAATACATTTCGAACAATCTGATCACACATCATCTACTTGTTAAGAACATTTATATATGAAAATTAAAAAGTCAACTAGATAGATTAAGGGTAAGTCATAACAAAGGGAAAATATTAAAGTACACAAAAACAAATGTGATTACCACTCTAGATAGTAAATCAGTACTACCAGGGTAGGTTAAGTGTAAGCACAATTTATTTTTGAACACATAAAGGGGGTTTCAGTTTTCGTATAGCCAAGGATTCAATGAACCTTAATATACGTCCTTGAAGGCTTTTGTACAACACAACAAATGCTGATTTGATATCAACCTTATGACCTGTCTCAATCAAGTGTTTCGCAATGGATGATGATGTCTGTCTATCCTGTGATCTCATTTCACCGCTGGAATTCATCTGATTTTGCAACCATTTTGGTATATGTAATTTGAATAAATAGTAATATTAATCTCTTCTAAAAAGTGTTGTTGGCAGAGGGCATTCAAACCCAGGACTTTCGATTTCGTGCACGAATACCCAACCTTTAGACTATTAAGATGTCGTCCTACTCTTTTAAAAAGTGCTCAGTATTATTTATTACTATCAAACTATTTTAACTGATAGTTTGACACCATATCATAATCAAATTGTGTTTAAATTCAAACACTTCAATTGAATGAATCTCCACTAAATAGTTCCTTTGAAATGAATCAATTCAAAATAGAAATTTATCTTATAAAGTGGTTAGTTACAGAAATTTTCATTGAAATAAATCGAAGTGAACACTAAATAGTTTTATGAAAATTAATGTTAAATAGAGCTACTTGGAATCCTCCTAAAGCTACTGCTGGCCCTGACGCCAAGTAAAAGGGGATTGGCTGTGCGATTAGCAACCCTGTCGAAGACACTTATGTTGTTTTATTTATATCTTTGAATCTTCCCATTATTGTTGGTGAGGAGTTCAGCTTATCACTTTCTTTTCGTAAATATGCATCCGAAGTAAATTACCTCAATATTTTGAGTAAAGTGAGTTAGTAGTTGCCGATGAGATTCGGCACGCGCGTTTTAATCTACTTCAAGGCTCATTATTTGAATGTACCTGCGTGGATCGGTAAAGCAAAAGCAGCATATCTACAGTTGAAGAACATCTGGAACTCAAAACAATTGTCAACCAACAGCAAAGTCATAATTTTCAATACAAATGTCCAGACAGTTCTACTGTATGGGGCGAGAACCTGGAGAACTACGGAAACAATCATCCACAACATACAAGTGTTTAATAAGAGTTGTCTATGCAAAATAATTTGGATCCGTTGGCCAGACACTATAAGCGACAGCTTGCTATAGGAGAGAACAAATCAGATCCCAGCGGAGGACGAAATCAGGAAGAAGCTTTGGGAGTGAATAGGACACACATTGAGGAAAGCACAGAACTGCATCACAAGACAAGACCTCACATGGAATCTTCAGGGCCAAAAAAAGAGAGGAAGACCAAAAAACACATTGAGTCAAGAAATAGAGATAGACATGAGAAGAATGACCAACAGTTGGATAGAACTAGACAGGAAGACTCAGGACAGAGTGGATCGGAGAATACTGGTCGGTGCCCTATGCTCCATTGGGAGTAACAGGCATAAGTTAGTAAGTAAGTAAGTAAGTAGGTAAGTACCTGCAACCCAGTATTGTTTTCAACCACTAATTTTCATAATATTATTTTACACAATTAACAACATTGTAAAATGAAGTGAATTCATTTCATTTAAATTACTCTTAATTTTTTAACTACCTATTGATTTGTATAAATAAATAAAATATTTTACCAATACGATTTTGTGTATTAAATTATTTAGCTGACCAATGAAGAATAATGATAATACTAATAGTTAATTCCTACATTCAGGGAAGTTCCGTTGATAAAAAGTAAAACACAGTGAGTAGGAAACCGTGACGTTATAAACATGTGTAGATACAAACGGATGTACATACTGATGTACGTACCTATGAAGTTCTAAGTTGTTACTGACTGACTGACTGTCGCACATACGGTTACGGTAGAAGGAATGATAAGATTGACAATTATTGTTATCATTATTATTATTGTTACTAGTAGTAGTAGTAGTAGTAGTAGTAGTAGTAGTAGTAGTAGTAGTAGTAGTAGTAGTAGTAGTAGTAGTAGTAGTAGTAGTAGTAGTAGTAGTAGTAGTAGTAGTAGTAGTAGTAGTAGTAGTAGTAGTAGTAGTAGTAGTAGTAGTAGTATCAAAAAAACAAGTGTATTAATCATAAACTTGGTGACAATATTAATATTTAACAATTCATTGTTAATCAGTAATTGATAAACTTATTATAATAATAATAATAATAATAATAATAATAATAATTGATTAATAGTAAAATTATTATTATATGATTGATCTACTTACTGAATCCAATAATCTGGTTGTACAGCTTCTGGTTCTAATTTTTCTTCAAATCTATGTAAAGATTCCAATTTTGATTTACTTTCCATGACTGGACCTAAACAACATCTTTGAATATCTAAACCTAATGCTATACCCCAATCATCTAATTCTTTTTCAACAAGTGGACCACACATTCCATGAGGTAAATGTAATTCACCTCTTCTTAAATAACTTAATATAAATCGAAATACTTCTGGATCTCTTTCAAAATAATACTCCTTTGTTTGTGCAATCCATATAGCATCTTCTAACATTTTACCATAGACAAATGGATCACGTTTTAATGTACTATGTCTTACATGAAATATTGTACCACTAACATTTAATCTTACAATTACTGGAGCTTTTGAAGTCCCTGTACAAGTTTTAGATAAATGATCATTTTCCATATAATGTGGTGATTGATGACAATTTCTATATGTAATTGATTCTGATTGAATAGGATTTTGTTGATTATTTAATAATTCTGATGATTGTATCATATCTGTATAGTATTCATAATCTTCATTGACTGTCACATCAGCTATAGATGAATTACATCCAGATGGACAACCAATATTAAATCGACCTAAATGATTGATATTTGATTTATGTTCAATAGATTGATTTGGTTGTTCCGATTTTAAATCACTTGAATGATTCAATAATTTTGATTGTAAATTTGTCATAAATGCAGTTACTGGTCTCCAACCAACATGATATTGAGATTTTTCACATGGAAACGATCGTTTCAATGGTAATGATGTAGAAGTGTTCAATGAATCCAATTTGCATGAATTGGATCGTTTCATTAAATTCAGTTCATTATTGTTTGTATCGTTTATATCTCGTGTTATATCATTATTATTAATAGATTGATTTAAATGGTTTGATTGAATTGCTTCAATGGATTTTGATATATCCTCATAACAATCATTAAAATGATCATTATTTGTAGAATTATTATTTTGCATGTTTCTATTTCATTTATTTTATTGATTATCTATAGAATCAATCATTTCACAAGTTATATATACTTAAAGTGTTTGATCATTTAAAGAAGTAGAAACATAATACATAAGATTGAACCCTTGTCAATGTAATTTAATGTTTATAAAGTAATTGTAAGATAAGTCTTCAGTAATAAGGATAAGAGGTCTAACGACCTATATTAATCCTAGCAGTTTGTAATGCTGTGGAGGTCTAATCTCGTTTTGAATATATATTAACAGAAGATGTTGATATTACGTGTTCCGGTAGAGAATTCCAGTAATTCACTACTCGGTGCAAGAAACGAAACTATGAACGTAAAGAAACGAAACTTCAGACGTAAAGTAAAAGAATAAACGAAATAACAATGTTTTAACAATTGATTGGTGTGAAAAAGGAATTTAATAGTTTCTTCATATATATGTATGTGTCTTATTGTGAGCTAACCATTAATTGGTTCAAGTAAATCACTTAAACTTGAAAATATGCACACACACGCACACACATACACAAAGATTCATGCACTCAAGTTACGTTCAAGATGGTTGATATGCATATATTTCTTTAAAAATTGTGCAATGAACAAGTGTAACCACAAGTCCACTACATACTGTACATTCCATAATATGGAAGTGTACTTTCAGTTTAGTGTATATCTCTGATAAATTTGAAAATTTTATAAAACTAAATCATACAAGAACTATCGATAGTTGAAAATATGTGAAATCAAATCTAAATACAATTTCATATAAATAGAACAAAATCAAAATAATTTCAATGGTTAAGACCATGAGTCAGTTGAAGCTAGACCACTATGGAAAACCTGGAAGCACTGGACGGCCGTTTCGTCCTATTGTGAGACTCTTCAGAAGTGCGCATCCACGACCTCGCCTCCCGCGAGATTGGAACCCAGGACCTACTGGTTTCGCGCTTAAGCACTTAACCAAAGTCAAAATAAACTAGAGGAATTTAATCATGACATCCTGAAATTGTGTGTAACAAACAAGAATCAGATTTTTTAAAAATTCTGTTCAGTGTACTTTAAGGTTTTAAATTTGAAACCAAATTAATCATTTACAGTGTACCTTTACCAGTCAATTCGTATATATTGAGTACTGAAAGAAAGATATACTTCTTTAATCTGTTAAAATTCCTGTAGATTGATAAGCTCCTTCGTAAAGATTTTTCCAATTAGCATTGTGTCTCCCAGTAGTGAATTACTCAATTTGTGCAACCTATATTAGATACCAGATGTTACGAGACAGTTATTTTAATAATTGACACAACCAATTAGCTGCAATCTTTGTGTTTCTTAACATATACCTTACAAATTGGGAGTACCAGCCCTATATGATTTAGATCTCTCAAACTTCTACTTTCTCTAGACTCAACAAAAAGAATTCTGGAAAACTCTAAACTTGAGGACGTATGCTACGGTATTAAAGTGTGGACTTTCATGAAACATTTCTCAACTCTTGTTAGGGATGCTAGATCCTCATAAATCACTTGGTAAATGTCTCATTTCTAATTCTATTTTGCAAATTTAAGTTTCTCATTTTCACGCCAAAAGTGCCTAATTTCACATTCAGCTCATATTTCCCACTTGAAAAGACCTTAAATATCACTGATTCTTCGTCTATTTTCATATGCTTTTTTTGACGTCTCCTAAACACATTTTTGTACTATACATATACGTTTGAGTTGTGTGCTTGTGTGTTCGTGCCTCTGAGTGCTTGTGGAATATACATTGCACAGGACAAAGTTGGATAGAGAGTGATGACGGGCGGCCCATGTTCCTCGATGATGGATAACAGGCGTAAGTAAGTAAAGCAAATAAGTACAAGCGTTCTATCAAAGCTGAACTTAGATGACAGAAAATTCATTACTCTTAATATTAATGGGCATCCATTTAGATTGCAAATAGATAATGAGTCAGACATTACCATTCTACATGGGTAGCACCCAATGTAGTCATCAAGAAGGCCTAAACATAGCCCTAGAACAACATTATTACTCTCTGCAAGCTTCTATAGACTTTTTCACTATGCTAGACGATGGAAAGTTCTTCACAAAGCTGGTCCTTGATAATGGTCATTTACAGGCATAAGTGGCTGAATAATCGAGAGACCTACTTACCATTATTACTCATCGTGGTTTGTTTCAAAATAATCGTCTACCATTTGGAGTAAAGACTCACCAATCTATTTTCTAGCAACTGATAAATACCATTCTATTGAGTATCCTAGGGGATCACAAGTCCCTTCCCACAATTTCCATCTATAAATCAGGCATTCCAATTCATTCTGCAAACCGTCCCCAGTGTTGGACTTTGGCGATTTTGGGTTATAACCCCGACATTCAGTGTCGACGCAGCCAAAATTTTAGTCAGTCAAATGCCTTGTTACAACCTATTAGTGAACATGCTACGGTAGAGGAAGATATGGTTATCGCCTTGCAGACTCTTACCTGACAACTATCACTCGTGCTTTGCAGTTGTTAACATCAGAGGTACAAGCTGATTCCAGAAACGACTCAACCATTAGGAAAAGGATGAACCACGTCACCAGCAACTAACCTTCTACTGGTTTTGATGGTGACATGAAGTAACTTTACTATCGTCAAGATTCATTATGCGGCGTGGACGAATAGTTGGTGTTTGGAGAGTGGTGGTGCTAGAATCGCTACGATCAAAGGTGATGATGCAGTTTCATGTTGATCACCCTGGTGTGAAACGAATGAAGTTCAAAACTCAAAGTTATGCTTGTTGGCCTCTTATGGACCAGCATATTATGGAGTTGGTAGGCAAATACACACAGTGTCAGTAAGCGGCGAACTTTAACGCTAAGGCACTTCATGTTTCATGGCCACAGTTTAAGTATCCCTGGTTCAGGATTCATGTCGACTTCGCTGGCCAAATAAATGAAACCACTTATTTAGTCGTAGTCGATGAGTTTTCAAAATTGCCGGAAATCCTCCCCGTCATGCCACCAACGACAACCAAACCATCACAGTGTTTGACGGAAATTTTATCCCTAAACTGATTGCCTGATGTATTTGTAGCAGATACTGGCTAGCAGTTCACTTCAAGCCAGCTTCAAGAATTCTCCTGACCGCTGGCCATTAAACATTTCTACTCTGTCCCTCACCATCCATAGGCAAAAGGTCAGCAAGAAAAATTTGTGGACACTTATGGAAGGGGACGCCAATCTAATTACTGCCGAAATCAGTTTTTTGATTTCGACGCATCCCAAATAATAATGCCAGAATGTTTGGGATGCGCTTCTCTCCCTCTAAATGCAAGTTGTTGCTTCAGGACTGGTCTGCGTCAACACCTGAACTAAGGATAGGGAGTGAAGTAGTCGAACGCGTTGACAACTTCACTTATCTTGGAAGTCTGATCAGCCCTAATGGGTTGGTGTCTGACGAAATCTCAGCACGGATTCGAAAAGCTCGTTTGGCTTTTGCCAACTTACGTCACCTTTGGCGGAGGCGAGATATCCGTCTATCAATAAAAGGACGTGTATACTGCGCGGCAGTTCGTTCTGTTTTACTTTATGGCAGCGAAACATGGCCCTTAAGAGTAGAAGACACCCGTAAGCTACTAGTATTTGACCACAGATGCCTTAGAAATATTGCTGGCATCTGCTGGGATCAACGGGTAAGTAATAGTGAGGTTAGACGCAGGGTATTAGGGAATGATGGTAAATCAGTTGATGAGGTTATGAATCTTCATCGACTGAGATGGTTGGGCCACGTATTACGTATGCCTGAACACCGATTACCACGACGTGCAATGCTAACCGGTGTGGGGATGGTTGGAAGAAAGTTAGGGGCGGCCAAACCAAAACGTGGCACCAGTGCCTGAAGTCACTAACTTCTAGTCTGACCCATGTTGGTAGATGCAGACTACTTGGTTGGGGTCCGCGTGACTTTCGTAACCAATGGTTGGAGACTCTTGGTGACATGGCTCAGAATCGATCACAATGGCGTCGGTGTATACACTCTCCGTGTTCCCTTAAACTAAGAGATTAAAATCGCTTCATATCTTTCTTTCTACGAACCAATTCTTTCTTCCTGTACTATATCCTTATTGCAATCTTTCTCCTATATATTACTACCTTCGACCTAACCACTGCTATGAATCCGGTGTTCATCTTGTTGTGCTGATGCGGTATGGCAACCTGGACCGATGCACATATGTGCCTGTTCCTACGTTGTAGCTGACTGACTGCCGAAATTCATATTTGTTTATCGAACGACATCAAGTGATACTTTACCAGAACAGCTGTCCCCAGAAGAGATGTTCACGGGAAGAAGGCTGAGGGCGATCTACAACACGATTCTCTCGAGAACCACACCACCACGAACTCAGCCATAGGAGGTGAGAACGTACGAGGTTGGATGTCTGATGTTCGCTTAAGACTACAGACTAAACCATGGCCTCTGGACTGAAGAATGCGTGGTCAGAAGGCTAGGGAAAGTCATGTACGAGATAGAGGTGGGAGTCGACAGGTGTGCTCGGCACCGAAATCAGTTACGGAAACAACTAGTTCCAGATCGCCTATCAAGGGAAGGAAATCTCCTACTCGAAATCCTGATAGATACCCTCAACCTACTCGCATTCCATACTCAAGAAGAAGTGAAGTAACGAATCAACTTGCGTTCCTAAAGGCGGCCGCTTCTATAACGGCGACAAGCGTTCAAGGTGCGAGTGAACTCCAAGAACATGCGCTTATCCTGTTGTTGTGTTGCTAACTTTGTTCCGTTCACCGGTTTTAGGTGATATCGTAACCTCTTCAAGGGTAACAAATCTTAAAGGTGTTGTTACCCACTAAGCGTTTTGAAAGACCAGTAAGGATGAGGAACTCGGACCCCAGTTTAGTAACCTTCGCTTCATCCTAAGTTGCCTTCACCACTATTGAGGTACATATATATATCCAATAGCTATTGTTTATTTGAATCGATAAAGACGGACATAAGTGAC